GCATAAATGACTTCAGGAACTGCCTGTATCTCTAAGTTGATTGTTATCCTGCATGTAAGATTTGCATTTTCAGGTAATTCCTTCTTTATGTCCCAGTAGCATTTTAAATTTAACATGTCCAAATAGAAATCATTATCTTACCCATGAACTCTGTTTCAGTATTCCTTTTTTATTTTAACAGCTTTATTGAAACATAATTTATATACCATAAAATTCACCTCTTTTTTAGCCTGATCAATGATGCTTATCAAATTTGCAACTGCCTCAACAATCCAATTGTAGAATATTTCCATCATTCTAAAAAGATCCTTTATGTTCATTTGTATCATTTCCTTTTCCCAGCCCCAGTCCCAAGTAATTATTAATCTATTCCTATCTCTTTTGATTTGCCTTTTCTAAAGATTTCACATAAATGGAATCATATAGTATGTGTTTTTGTGACTGGCTTCTTTCACTTAGTGTGTTTTTGAAATTCATGTACCAACACTCCATTCCTTTTTACTGCTGAATAGTATTCCATTGTGTTGTCTATACCACATTTTATTTATCTGTTTATCAGTTGATGGACATTTGAGTTGTTTTCTAGTTTGGGGCATTATGAATAATGTTCTAAATGTTATGGTCTTGTCTTTGTGTGAATCCATATTTCCATACCTCTTGGATTCATTTATGACCAATTTGGGCTTCTTAGGTGGCACTAGTGCTAAAGCACTTGCCTGCCAATGCAGGAGATGTAAGAGACCCAGGTTCAGTCTCTGAGTCGGGAAGATTCCCTGGAGGAGGGCATGGCAACCCACTCCATTATTCTTGCCTGGAGAATCCCATGGACAGAGGAGCCTGGTGGGCTACAGGCCATGGGGTCGTACAGAATTGGACACAACTGAAGCAACTTAGTATGCACGCATGGAAAATTTATATTTTAACCTTTGAAGAAGCTATAAAATTATTTTCTAAAATGACTGTACCATTTTATAGTCCCACTAGCAATGTATGAGAGATCTAGTTTCTCTTTGTTATTGTTTGCCATTTTTATTATAGACCTTCTAGTAAGGTGTGAAATGGTGCCTCATTGTAGATTTTAAGAAGTATTTCTGTTTGTTTATTTTTGGCTGTTGTGGCATGTGGGATCCTTTGTTGCAGCAGAGGGGCTTCTCTCTAGTGGGGACGTGTGCCGGCTCTGGATGCATGGGCTCTGTAGTTGCCACACGCAGGCTTGGTTGCTTCCTGACATGTGGGGTCTTAGTTCCCTAACTGGTGATTGAACCTTTGTCCACTGCATTAGAATACAGATTCTTATCAACTGGACCACCAGAGAGGTCCCATCTCTTTGTGGTTTTCATATACGTTTCCCTAATGGGTACTTGCCTGGAGGATGGCATGACAACCCACTCCAGTATTCTTGCCTGGAGAATCCCCATGGACAGAGGAGCCTGGCAGGCTGCCGTCCATGGGGTCGAAAAGAGTGGGACATGACTGAGCACATCACAATGTGTACTTGAAGGTTAGCCTTGATTTTTCTTTTTGTACCCTGCTCTCCCATTCTGTGAGTGTACTGATTTAGTATATCTGTAATTCTCTCGTTTATGCTCATTCCCATTACTTTATTTCTTCACTATTTTTGATTATTAAAATGGCCTCCAAGTGGTTTTCTCTGGTAGCAGTTCCTCTGTAGATTGCAGTCTATTTTCTACACCATTATCAAAATGAATTTTCTAAAATGTAGGTGTGGTCATGCTCCCTCTTTGCTAATAAAAACCTTTCCAAGAAGCCTCATTGCCCTTTAGATAAAGTCCACTGTCTGAACCCTCCTTATTTTACAAGGCTTGTTCTTGCCATTCCTTCCCTCACCATCCTCTCCTCTTATAAAACCACATACACATCCTGAACACATCATGACCTGTAATCTATCTGCTGTTATCTGAATACTTTAGGATTTTCTTTCTTCTGTGCCTTTGAACATGCTGTTACCTCTGTCAGAAAACAATAAACTCTTACTCATTCTCCAAGGCTCAGCACAAATAAAGCTCCCTCAGAATCTTTCTCTGATACTCCTTAATAGTTAAGGTTTGTTTCTGTGTGTGTTAATATAGTGACATAAATAGGTGTCTGTGAAAATATATTAAGTTGAATTGCATTGTCAGCCTAAAACATTTTTGTAATTACTTGCTATTGTTTATGTTTCAAACTGAACATGGTATTGTATGTACGCTGTATTGTAACTGTTACCTTCTTTTAATTTTCTCAGTACTTCAAAGCATTATTTATGTAAGTGTTATATATTTTGTAAGGATATTCCTTTTTAAAAAAACCCTATGGAAATGGAATATTACTCAGCTATTAAAAAGAGCACATTTGAGTCAGTTCTAATAAGATGGATGAAACTGGAGCCTATTATACAGAGTGAAGTAAGTCAGAAAGAAAAACACCAGTACAGTATATTAATGCATATATATGGAATTTAGAAAGATGGTAACACTGACCCTATATATGAGACAACAGAAGAGACACAGATAAAAAGAACAGACTTTTGGACTCTGTGGGAGAAGGTGAGGGTGGGATGATTTGAGAGAATAGCATTGAAACATGAATATTGCCATATTTGAGATAGATGACCAGTCCAAGTTTGATGCATAAAACAGGGCACTCAAAACCAGTACACTGGGACAACCCAGAGGGATGGGATGGGGAGGGAGGTGGGACTGGGCTTTGGGACTGGGGGACACATGTACACCTGTGGCTGATTCATGTCAATGTATGGCAAAAAACCACCACAATATTATAAAAGTAATTAGCCTCCAATTAAAATAAACTAATTAATTTTAAAAAATCCATGGAGGGCGGGTGCAGGAGTGGGGTCAGAAGCTGGTAAGAACCTGAAACGTCTTGTAGTTGTCTGAAGATTCTTCAATCACTATGTCAAGTGACACAGATGTTTCTCTTTCTTCATATGATGAAGATCGGGGATCTAAACTTATCCAGAAAGCTAGAGAGGCACCATTTGTCCCCATTGGAATGGCAGGTTTTGCAGCAGTTGTTGCATATGGATTATATAGATTGAAGAGCAGGGGAAGTACTAAAATGTCTGTTCACCTGCTCCACATGCGTGTGGCAGCCCAAGGCTTTGTTGTGGGAGCAATGACTCTTGGTATGGGCTGTTACCTATATGAAGAATTCTGGGCAAAACCTAAATCTTAAAGGGAGATGCCGTCTTGGTCTTGGTGGTGGTGCTTGTTTTAGTTAGACATCTCATATTGATGTTATATGTTTATGCTAAAAATAAACTGTTTGGGTCAGACCGAAAAAAAATCCGTGAAATACTTGTCCATTAACTCCGTGTTAAAATTCCTTTTCTTCACAAAGTTATACACCATGATGGAATTATTCAGCCATACAAAGATAAGTTAGGAGCCAAATGAATATGGTTTACTTAATCACTTGAAAATATTGGAAAGTGATTTGAGAAGGCAGCTTAGAACAACTTCTTTTCTAAATAAAATTCTGCTCCATTTTAAACTCTGAACATGTGGACTGAAAGGGCTGGTTCCCTTGGCTGGTACCTGACCTCTGTGCACACCTTGGTCTTTCTCAACTGCACCCACACTGTGCACTGCAGCTATATAAATCAGATTTTTGACGGATTATAAAGGGCAAGGCACAGCTGCTGCAGACTGCATTATTCAAAAACTTTTGAAATGCTGCCTATCCAACAAAATTTATTGTTTGTATGAATGTAAATTTCTATTGAGGTAAGCCTGTTTCTTTAGAAAAAGAAACTCATACAATGAACCAGTGATTATTTCAAATTAAATAGGCTTAATTTCTATCTTTCTCTCTCTCACTGCTTGTCTAAGAGTGACTTGCTTTGAGAGAAGATCTTGCTTATTACACCTATGTTAATAGGAAGTTGTTGACTGAGATTTCTGTTACAAAAGTCTTTTTCCTTAAGTCAGGAGTAAGTCTCTTTTATAAAATGAAAATGAGAGCATATAATCATAATGTAAGTATAAATCTATCATCTTTTTAAATGTCTTTTGGAATTCCTTTGTTTCTGTTATAGCAGATAACTTAATACATAGCTCCTTTGTTTTGTCAGATGCTAGACATTTTTCAAAAGAAAGGTACATGTAGATTGGTAAATGTAATATGTAATCTACAGTAAATTTAAAAGTACTTTTATAAAAATTTTTAAAGTTCTGTAGAAATGCAAACCTTTTGGTCATTTTTAATAAACTTAAAAATTGAAACTTGTTCTTTTGAAAAGTCAAATTAGAAATAGGCTTTATGAGAAAGTTAAAATGTCAATTTCAAGTCATTCATTTTTGCTTATAGACTAGTATTTTTCATATAGAATCTCATATGATATACTACTAAATTAACAATTTATTGGTCTTCCCTGATAGCTCAGTAGGTAAAAAATCCACCTACAATGCAGGAGACTCCTGTTCGATTCTTGGGTTGGGAAGATCTGCTGGAGAAGGGATAGGCTACCCACTCCAGCATTCTTGGGCTTCCCTTATGGTTCAACCGGTAAAGATACTGTCTGCAATGCAGGAGACCTGGGTTTGATCCCAGGGTTGGGAAGATCCCCTGGTGGAGGACATGGCCCACTCCAGTAATCTCACCTGGAGAATTGCATGGACTGTATAGTCCATGGGGTCACAAAGAATCGGACACGACTGAGCGACTTTCACTTTCATTAAAAGTAAAACATTAGACTTTTCTTCAGAGAGAGATTTAAGATTGCATTATATTACTTAGGCAGTGATTTGTATCTAGTGCATTTATACTGTTTATTGATCTTTTAGTTTTACCTGTTCATATTTTTTTACTGATATATATGATAAGTATCTAAAACTATAGATGCTCTAACCAAAGAATTTTGTCCCTAGCTTATAAATGCTTAATTATTTTCATCATTTAAAAGAATATTATTGTTACAATATTTGAAATTTTGTAATGCTATCAAAAGAGGATAATTTTTCCTGAATTATTAATTTTAGGTGCTGTTTTTCAACCCTAAACTTTCTACCAAGAATGAAACTATTTAGAAGTTAAGATGACAACAGGTAATTTCTTGTAAGTTTATACTTTTGTCAACGTGGGTCAAAAAATTTATACCATAGAAATATAAACAAAAAAGAAACTTATATCAGTACAAGACTGTATTTTTCCCACCTACAATTATCCTAGAAATATGAAATACCTTGGTTTTAAAAGGCCTTGCTTTATAACATGGAACTATTTTATTTAGACCTACATTTTATCACATTTTACAGACTAATTCTGGTGTACTCTAAATCTGCTATCAACTTTACAAATAAGTAAATGAAATCAGAATACAAATAGATTCAGAGATAGTGATTCAGGTTAGATGAGTATTCCTTACTGATAAAATCCCAGATGTTGAGTCATAACTGGTTGTGATCCTATTAAAAACAAGGACATTAATTTCAGCTACAGGAAGCATTCTGTGATAAAGTTGACACTCCACCCTCAATGGAAAACCGCATATGATGATGTCCATAATTCTAACATAATGTAATGTCAACTGGGATTTTGTCAGCCAAATTATTCCTGGAAAATTTTAAGAATTATCTTATAAAAAGTTGTTTTGAAAAAAAGAAAAAGTTGTTTTGTTGTAAAGAAGCATCAGTTCAGTCGCTCAGTCGTGTCCAACTCTTTGTGACCCATGGACTGTAGCACGCCACGCTTCCCTGTCCATCACCAACTCCCAGAGTTTGCTCAAACTCATGTCCATTGCATCGGTGATGCCATCCAACCATCTCATCCTCTGTCGTCGCCTTCTCCTCCCGCCTTCAATCTTTCCCAGCATCAAGGTCTTTTCCAATAAGTCAGTTCTTCATATCATGTTGCCAAAGTATTGGAGCTTCAGCATCAGTCCTTCCAATGAATATTCAGGACTGATTTCCTTTAGTAAAGAAGCATAACATTGTGTGAAAAAGAAAAAAATTAGAAGATTAGTTCTGGTTGGTTTACTTTCCTTTCTTCCACTTAAATTCTTTGTAAGTTCTGTTTTCCTCTTTACATTTTTATATTTTTATAATTGTAATGTAAGGGTGAATCAATTTAAAATAAAAGCAAAGTTCAAATTCTGACAGTAAAGACATCTGGTTTGATAGTAATTATATCTTAAGGGTATGAATATCTTAGTGGCAAATAAATTCTAAATAACTTTTTTAAAACTAGTATGCTATTTTTTAAAATGCCAAATTGGAACAATGCCATTTTCTTCTTCACATAAGATTCTACATCACTTTCTGCACAGAAATGATCAGGAACCAACAAAGTTCAATTTTAAAGCAATGTATTAAATAATTCCCCCTTCAGGATCAGAAGATAAAGCATTCAGCAATTGACTTTTCTAATCATAAATAGTAGTCTATAGTAGTATAACTCAATGAGTAATTATAAAGACATATTTAAAGTATATAGTATATATAACTTATTATACACATAACATTATAACTTCTCCTATGTTTGTTTCTAAATTTTTCTGTCTAATGGTTTTGGGGGAATTTTTTTCTAAGAGTGAGTGAGGAGCTTTAGTCTGGAAGGGAGGGATAGGTACCAAGAGAAAAAGGGAAGGCAGAGAAAGATGCATAATGGAAAGGTCAAAGATGAGGAAGGAAGAAAGGAGGGAGAAAGAAGAGAGAAAGGAAGAGAGATACAGAGATTTATTTTTTTAATATTCCAAAAATGTTTGCTGTATCCCATATGATGGTATTACTGTTTTCAGTTTTATTGAGGACTTTAAATATGTCTGTCTAGTTACTAGCTATTACCTAAAGTCCCCTTGCAAATCAAAACCTATTAAGATATTTTTGTTTTTTTGATGTTAAAATTGTCATATATAGAAATACTTAAAGATGATTTTGAACATCAGAATTTATTTAATAATCTAAAATTTTTTCCCACAGCAATTTCAGACTTTAATGTATCTGAGACCTTAAAGGAAAGATAGGAATCTAAATATACTATTGGGACAGAACTCTAAGCAGAGCTGTACTGGATGAGAAAAGCCACTATTTATTTTAAGATACTGGTCTTCTCCTTTTAATCTACTATATTGTTCAGTCGCTAAGCTGTGTCCACCTCTTCCCTGAACCCATGGACTGTAGCCCACCCAGCTTTTCTGCCCATGGAATTTCCCAGGCAACAATACTGGAGTGGGTTGCCATTTTTTTTTTTTCGCCAGGGGATCTTCCCACCTCAGGGATCAGACCCGTGACTCCTATGTTGGCAGATGGATTCTTCACCACTGAGCCACCAGGGAAGCCCTTAATATATTAGAGACTGTCCCTATTTCTGCAATACAGTTTTTAACTCTATTGTAATTAATGGCCATATCCTTAAGACAGATTAGTTTCTTTCCCTCAAAGAGATAGAAGTCCCTGCTTATCAAATAAGGAATGAGACTAAGTCCTTCATTTTAATAAACAGTTTTTTATTCTAATTTTTAGAATTACTACTTCAGTCTAAGATACTTAGTCCTTTTCCTTATTTTACTAGAAAAACTATAATTTGTCTTTTATTTGTGTATATGTTTTAGATCACGAAGAGCCCTGTGGTCCTAGTCACAGGTCATTCTGCCTGAATGGAGGACTTTGTTATGTGATACCTACTATTCCCAGCCCGTTTTGTAGGTGAGTAAAATGGACTGGGGAGAGGGTAATTTTATTTTTCATTATCTACTCACTTCTTTAAGAAGTGATAAATATTGAATAAAGAGTGAGATGAAAAAGGGTGAGGAACACTTTATATTTATATAGAAAAGAATTATGGTTTTAAAAAACAAAGCAAAGTGGCAAATCATCCCAAAAGCATTTATTTTGAAAATTGTAGTGGTAGTTTCAAGTCTATTAGTATTTTTTAATAATCCATTTTAGTAAACTCTTTACAATTTTAGCAAATTAGGGAAGACAGCCTATACTTAGTATTCTGGCAAAACAGCTAGAGAATTCACTAATGTAAGAAAACATACCATGCAATATTTTGCTTTGATTTAAAATATATAAATTCATGATAACTGTGTTGGTACCAAGACTTCATTTGATATATTAAAATGAAGAGTTAAGTTTTTCTAATGGTAGGAGCAAATTTTGAAAAGAAAGGGTCTTAGCTTTTATTGTTTTAAAAGAATATGATTCAAAAAATAAATAAATAAAAGAATATGATTCACTTTGGGAGTATAGTTATAGCCAGTGATTAATAAAAGGCTTGAAAAGAGTACTTGTATAGCTGAATTCATGTGAGTTTGGATGAATAGGATTAAAGGGGGGTATAATAAACCTCTTTTAATATGTGAACAAACAACATAGTACTACCAGCAATGTTCATAGATTTTAGCAGAGCTGACATCCAAAGCTATTTTGTAGCATGTGTGTCAGTTACTCTGTTTTTGCTATTTAACTGAAATGAGAAATATTTTTAAATAAAGGAATAGGAAAATGCAATTTTCAGAAAAAGAGAAGGATGTTGGGATTTAGTGTGGAGGAAGAGAGACAGAGAAATAACCTTATAATTATCTCAGGAAGTTTTTAGAAGTTTTCATGGAAGGAATAGTGACTGACTATTTTTAAAAATAGGTATTTTTTTCCTCTTAGGTGAAAAAAGAAGGGCATAGAGGAGCAAATTAGCAATTATTTCTCACCTTCCAGATGCTTCACATTAGATTATATTTTAAATCCATTTACTGAAATATAATTTATGTATGATAAACAACATTCATGTTGAATGAATTTTGATGAATTTTGACTAATGTTTATACCTGTGAAACCACCAGCACCACAAAATATGGACTATTTCCATTATCTCCTCGAATTTCTTTACTGATCATTTTCTTTATTTACATTTCCATGTTTCATTCTCAGAAAAACCTTAGAAAAAAGGTGGAGAGGAGACCTAAGGAAATAGAAAAAGGAGGAGAAAATGAAAAATTAACTGACTGTATACTGTCTGTTATACTGAAGTGAGTAAGTGGAAAGAAAGAGTTAAAGAGTATTGAAATATGGAAAGTCATTGAAATAGGAAGAAATCTAGTGTTTTAGTTCAGGCTACTATAGCAAAATACCATAGACTGAGTGACTTATGAAAAACAAATTTATTTCTCATAGTTCTAAAGGCCAGAAGTCTGAGATCAGGGTGCCAGCCTGGTTGGTTTCTGGGGAGTGGCTGCTTCCTGGTTTGCAGATGTACCTGGGTAGAACTTTTGACTGGCAGATTTATTGTCAGGAAGAGCTGGTAAGGAGCCAGCCTTCAGCCTGCAGAGACATAGGATAGAATGAGGAGGACCTTCCTCTAGATGTAAGCAAATTACAAACCACAGGCCAGATTGTTTTTGTTTGACCCTTGACTTAAGAAGGTTGGGTTTTTGTTTTTTTGCTTTTTAAAAGGTTATAAAACATATTCAGAAAAATATGGAAGATTATGCCATTCATGGCAGGAAGAAAGAGTTCACTAGAGCCTCTTTAATAAGGTCACTAATCCCACTCATGAGGGATTCCATACTCATGACTTAATCACCTCTCAAAGCCTCTACCTCCTAATACTATCATATGGGGTTATGAAATTCAACATATGATTTTGTGGGGGGGACGCAGATGTTTAGTCCATAGCACTTAGGTTGTCACTCTGCTTTTGTATTTTATATAGATGCACTTTTAGTTTATTTTCAAAGAGTGACTAATGAAAGAGAATGGGCTACTTTGGTGGGAACTCATCCCAGGCTTAAGGATATATCTGGTTTCTTCCTAATGTCAGACTTTAACAGTGGTAGTAATTGAGGAGAAGTTGAAACCATGTCCCACGATTCATAATGGTTAGGAAGGAAGCAAGGTCACCATGTTGCGCGATCGCAGGAGATTCTGAGATTAGCACTCGCTGTACAGTGCATGGTATACCCTGGAGCTGCTAAACATTCTGGAAGAAGGTGAAGTCAGGAGGAGCAAAAGGGACCTTGAGAAAAAAGGAAGAAATATAGTGACTTAAGGGTTCAGTGAAACAGAATGGCAGATAAGTTTAAAATCACATTTTATAAAAATAATTGCCTTCTAGTAATTTTAGGACCATGTTTCTAATACATTCCTATAGGCTATACTGCCTATATGTAAAGGCAAACTCATTTCCCATCCCAACTCATACTATTTCCTGCATTCCCTATTTCTATTAATGACAATCCGACCAACTTGTCACTGAGAAAACGGATTCATCTTCAACTGTCATTGAACCCTTGTCTGGTTGTCAAGTCATGATTCTGCCTTTGCTGTAGGTCTCTCATCTTTCTAGCCCTCTGTGTTCTTACAATCATTGTGTTAGCTCATACCTTCTTCGGAGAAGGCAATGGCAACCCAGTCATTGTTCTTGCTTGGAGAATTCCAGGGTCAGCGGAGCCTGGTGGGCTGCCGTCTATGGGGTCGCACAGAATTGGACACGACTGAAGCGACGCGGCAGCAGCAGCAGCAGCATACCTTCTTAATCCCTGATTTGTCTATAGAAATGGTTTCCTAGCCAATTTTCTTGGACCATAATTCTTATCACTACTTCTGCTAAAATAAAACTTCAGTGACAACCTTCATACCTACCCATCTGCCACAGATACAATAAAGTTTCACCTTTTGCCGTAGCTTTTAGAGATGTCTTCTGTTTGCCCCCAAACCACCTTTGTGATCTGTTCTTCCTTGGTCTGTGTTCTACCTAGAACCATTTCCTATTTATGTTAGATACATTTTGCATTTTCTCACCCTTCCTTTTCTTCCTGTCTGTTGGCATCTTATTCCAGTATACTTACCTGGGAAGTCCCATGGACAGAGGAGCCTTGCAGACTACAGTTTATAGGGTTGCAAAGAGTGGAACTTTGACTTGTGACCGAGCACAAATGTACATGCATATTCAAATCCTACTTATATTTCAAGGTTGCCTCCTTCCTAATCACTCATCTCATCACACATCAAAATTAATCTCCTCTCTGTACCGAGAAATGTGTGGAATTTATTGCCTTATATTTTGTATCACATATATACTCATTTTCTTTATTCTACAATAAATATCTCCCATCATTCTTACCATTTAGGAAATTGCCTTGCCCATGGTAGATGACAGTTTAAATAATTGTTGATTCATCTCTGAATCAGTGGTCAGTATGTTTTTCTTGTGTGAAATATATAAGTAAATTAATAAAATAGTTAGAAATACTACAATGGCAATAAACAAGTAGGCTTTACAAATTTAATTTACTCTTTCTTACACATTGGTCTTTTTATTCTGTCTCTATTTTTTTTTTTCTTATTATTTGGACTTTCAAACCAGCATCCTCTGGTTTTTCTTATCTAGTTTCTTTATTTGCTTATTTAGCACAGTAATTTTCTCTTTTTAAGCTAATATTTTAAAGTTGAGGACTACATGATATCAGTTTGTTAGTGCTGAGATTTGCTCTGGAGCCTAATTCATGTACAGAATTTTAAATGATCTGTGTCTACAAGAGAAGATTGTGGATTCTTTAATTGACACATGTCGAGTTTTATGTATACACTTTAGATCAGGCTTGTTATAATATGCTGTTCAAATCTGTCATAGCCTTAATAATTTTATGGATATGATTTTTATTTTTCCATCCTACATTCTGTTTATTTTCATTGACATGTCTTAAGATTAACGAAAAGAACAGAAAAAATATTAGAATTGTACATAATGTGTGTAAGTATTATTTTGAAACTTGTGCTTCAGATGTGTCAGTGTGCATGTGTTTGGAGTCACATATATTATTTTTTGATTCAGTGGCTCAGTGTTGTTATTTTTTTAATTGATGGTGGTACAGTCGCTAAGTCGTGTCTAACTCTTGCAACCATGTGGAGTGTAACCCCCCCAGGCAAGAATACTGGATAGGGTTGCCTTTTCCTTCTCTAGGGGATCTTCCAGACCCAGGGATTGAACCCAGGTCTCCTGCACTGTGGACAGTTTCTTTACCAACTGAGCTACCAGGGAAACCCTATTCTTTAAAGTTGGAGTATAGTTAATTTACAATGTTGTGATACTTTCTGTCATCTAGCACAGTGAATCTGTTATACGTACACATATATCCCCACTTTGTTAGACTCATTTCCCACATGGGTCATTACATGGTACTGAGTAGAGTTCCGTTGGGCTCTGTGTGCATCCTCAGCCACTTCAGTCGTGTCCTACTCTTTGCGACCCTATGGACTGTGGCTCCTGAGGCTCTCTGTACGTGGGATTCTGTAGGCAAGGATACTGGAGTGGGTTGCCATGCCCTCCTCCAGGGAATCTTCTCGACTCAAGGTTCGAACTGGAGTCTCTTGCATCTCTTGCATTGCAGGCAGATTCTTGCAGGCTCAGACTCACTGAGCCACCTGGGAAGCCCCTGTGCTATATAGTAGGTCTTTATTATTTATTTATTTTATATGTGGGCTTCCCTGGTAGCTCAGCTGGTAAAGAATCCGCCTGCAGAGCAGGAGATCCCAGTTTGATTCCTGGTGTGGGAAGATCCCCTGGAGAAGGGATAGGCTACCCACTCCAGTATTCTTGGTCTTCCCTGGTGGCTCAGCTGGTAAAGAATCTGCCTGCAATGTGGGAGATGTGGGTTCGATCCCTGGGTCGGGAAGATCCCCCAGAGGAAGGCATGGCAACCCAC